CTGACCTTGAGCGATCCACCCACCTCGGCCTCCCAGAGAGCTAGGATTACAGGCGTGAGCCACCACACCCGGCCTATTTATTTATTTTTGAGAGAGTCTCACACTGTTACCCTGAGTAGAGTGCAGTGGCGTCAGCCTAGCTCACAGCAACCTCAAACTGTCGAGCTCAAACAATCCTCCTGCCTCAGCCTCCCAGAGTGCTAAGATTACAGGCATCAGCCACTGCACCCAGCCTTGCCAGTTATTTTGTAAATGATGCCTCAATCAGGGTTTAAGTTTTCTCATGAATAGGTTGAAGCTATATATTTTTGTCAAGAACGCTACAAAAATGATGTCCTTTTCTCAGTAAATAATAAGAGATCATACAATGTAAATATGTCTTATACTGGTGACGTTAACCTTGGTTTAAGTGATGTCTCTTTGGTTTTCCACTATAAAGTTACTGTTTTCCCTTTTGTAGTTAATAAATATTTGGAGAAGATACTTTGAGACAGTGCAAAAACACAAATATCCTCTTTTTCCTCAGACTTTTGCTCATTAATTTTAGCATCTATTGGTGGATCTTGTTTACAACGGTGATTACTGTGGTGCCCCAGTGGTGGTCTTCTGTTCCCCTCATACCTTCTACATGTGTTAATTGGAATTCTGAAAATCTGTTTCTTCTCTGTTGGTTTTAATTATGTGGACATACGGGTATTTATTAATTCTTTTACTCCTTAAGTCTATTGAATCATGGATACATATTATATTTTTATGGGTTATAATTCAGTATTACTGTTTATTTTGTTGCTGAAATTATCCTACCATTGGGCACTCTTCCAGGTTGGTTCCTGTGCCCTTTCAACATGCCCTTGTTTTTGAGCGCTTTCTTTCTTTCTTTTTGTGTGTGTGTGTGTGTGTCCCATGGCTAACTTTGAATTTAGCACTCCCTTTCTGACACCACAAGATGCTCCAGGTTTGTGGTTTTTTTTTTTTTTTTTGCCACAGCCCTGGAATCAGCTATATTCATGCCTCGGTCTCTGGGGGGATTGGTTCCAGGACCACCCTTGGATACTAAAACCTGAGGATACTCAAGTCTCTTATAGAAAATGGTGTAGTATTTGCATATAACCTGTGTACACTTTCTCCTGTACTTTATATCCTCTCTAGATTACTTATAATACCTGATACTGTGTAAATGCTATGTAAATAGTTATTACACTGTATTTTAAATTTGTATTATTTTTTTAGTGGTATTTTTTTCGAATATTCTCAATCCATGGTTGGTTGAATCCATGGATGCAGAACACACAGATCCAGAGGGCGGATTGTATTTATTTTTCCACTAGAATGTTAGCTTCATGAAATAGCTTGTTTGACATAGTGTTATAGTATCCCTAGATCCTAAAATGGTGTCTGGCGTATGATAGGCACTAAATAAATATCTGAATGAATGAATGTCCTTCCAGCTTTTTTTAATCATCTGAGTATAAAATTATCTTTTACTTAATGTATTACCTAATTGAATTTACTTACCAGGATTATTAAAATTGGGTCACATTTTTTTTTAAATGTTCTTAGGAAAAATATTACAAGACCGTTTGAGGATCAGACATCACTGGTAAGTATAAGAATCTTTGATTTAAAAGAGCATATAAATAATTTTTCAGACTAATTCATGTTGTACTCCCTAATTAGTGATTTTTTGAATTAGAAATCATCCTATGTGAAGGATTTTGATGTAAAATGGAGATGAACTAAGACCTTTATACTTTTAAAAATATACCTGCAGATCTTACATTTCACTTTCCTAGTAAGTGTATTATTCATTGCTTACGTATATATTGATAAAATTTTTAAAAATTAAATTACATTTTAAGTGCATAATTAATTGTCAAAAGGAAGCTTATTACAGATCTATTTTTATGAAGCAATTTTGAGTTCTAAAAATCTGACTTTTGTATATATTTAGAACAAGGAACACTACTTGAATTATTGTTAACAGTTGCCAGTTGCTTTGCTAGAGTTAATCACATTCCTGTTAGAGTGTATTGTCAACCAAAACTAAGTGAAGAAGGCTAGTAAATGAAATCAGAAGGTGAAAGACAGTTTAAGTGAATGGTGAAGAGACATTGACTGTGTGATGATAATTGGTTTCTTTCTTAAGAATCTTAAAGGAGTAAGTGCTTTAAACTGTTTAAATTGACCTTGAAAAATAAGAATATGATTGTGTTCTCTTGATAGGAACTTATTATTTGTTTTTTCTTTTAGTTAGCAAATTTAAAAGAAAGAACTTGGCTGGTCCGAGTGCAGTGGCATTTACAACTAATTGATCACAACTAGTTATAGATTCCTTTGTTCCTTCTCCACTCCTGCTGCTTCACTTGACTAGCCATAAATGAATGAGTGAATGAATGAATGAATGAATGAAACAAAAGAGGAAGAAAGAACTTTTGAGTAGAATCTGAATAATTAATTAGAAGACTGGCTGGGCATGGTGGCTCACACCTGTAATCCTGGCACTTTGAGAGGCTGAGGCAGGAGGATCACTTGAGGCCAGGAGTTTGAGACCAGCCTGGGCAACATAGCAAGACCCTTATCTCTACAAAAAATCTAAAAATTAGCCAGGCGTGGTGGCATATGATTGTATTCTTAGCTACTCAGAGGGCTGAGGTGGGAGGATCACTTGAGCCCAGGAATTAGAGGTTACAGTGAGCTATGATTGTGCCACTGCACTCCAGCCTGGGCAATAGCACAAAACCCTATCTCTTAAAAAAATTAAAAAGGAAAATGTTGGCAAAATAAATTTTATTTAGTTTTTTACAAATTACTCTTATCGTAGTGTTATGTTTTTCAGTCATCTGTTGAAGAGATCACGAAAGTAAAAATAATAGGGCTTATCTCAGAATTCTTTCTCTTTTATACACCACTTAATCAAGGTGCTGCTTTTGTTTTGTAACACCATGATGGTTTTAGTTAGATAACCACTATGTAGCAGTGTTACGTGGTGAAATCTGTGGCATGTGTACTTTTTCAACCCACTGTTAATATGATAGCTTTTCTTACACTTGAAGTTGTGACATTTCATCTCTTCGATCTCCCACCTTCAGAGATAGAATATATTTCATTGGCTATAATAAATCTCAGACATCTCCTCATTCGTGTAGTAGTGAGGAAAAAGAAAAATAGATCTCAGACCTTCATAGCTTAAAATGACTATGGAAATAGCGGTTGTGTTGGAAATGTGGTCAGTTTCCTCCTCTCGGCCCTCCCATATCACACGTTTCTTTCACCACATTCTTGCAAATGTTCTTGGGTGCTTTAGAACAGGGGTTGGCAAAAATACACTGCCTGTAGACCAGATCCCTGTTTGTGTGAAGCCTGTGAGCCAAGAATGTTTTTTCCATTGTTAAAGAGTTGATTAAAAAAAAGAAAAGCATATGAAAAGCCTAAAATATTTATTTGGCTTTTTGCAGATAATTTGACTACCCCTGCTTTAAAATTTTAACAAATAAGAAGCAGACTGTAGAGAAGAACAACAGAGATGAGTTTTCATGTGCATGTGTATGTGTGTATATGCATAAAACACTCAAATATGTATGAAGGGTATTTTATGGAAAGCTTTAGGGAATTAGTCATAACATGAAAATGTTAAAAAAAATTTTTAAGAAAGCATTTCCATTGATTTAGACAATAAAAAATTCTTTTGAACACCTACTTTGTGTCAGACACTGTACAAGCTACATTCATATATGACATCCATGGGGCCCTTGCAGGCTTTTACAGGAGATAATAAAATTAATTCTCAAGAAAGTTTAATTTTCTTGCTTTGTCAAATGACTAAAAAAAAAAAACAAAAACGAAAAAGAAAGTTTAATTTGTCCAGGGTAAGTGGCAGAGCCTGAAATCTTAGACTTTCTGACTCTGCACCCTCCATGCTGGGAGTGGATGGACACGGGCAGTTGTGTGCCCCATTTGCTTCTACTTAGACAACAGAACGAATGATAACCAAACTAGGGGCTCACACCTCAGAGTCTTGTAGCCAGTAAAGAAAAGTTGAGGATTATCACTATTTCATCTGTTTTAATTTTTTTGTTGTTAATTTAGGAGGCTTTCCAACTGACTTTTGAACTAGAACATGTTGAATTTAATTTTCACGCTTAAGACTGGTGATCTCAGTAAACTGAGTCGAAGTATGTGGGATGTAGAAAGTATAGACGTAGTGTAAAAGGAGCTGTCTAGGGTTGGAACCCCATACCTGTATTTCCATTCCTCTTAAATCTGTAATGGAAGTCAGTACTTCTGAGAGCCAAATGGAGAAGATATCTTTTGCAGCTAGGAACATTAATAGATCTGTCAGTCTCTCCAGGTACACAGCATGCAACTAGTCACAGCTGTGTGGCATGTAGATTCCAGGACAAGATTCCTGCGTGGATGCAATTTGAAATGAGAGGGAAACTCATGAATCCAATTATAAACATCCAAAAACACCATATTGATAAATTCATGTAGGTCCCCCATATATTCATGTGTGCCATCAACAATAGCAGTAATGTCCTGTGAATAAAGGGGTTTGTTCAACAGTTGAAACACTTGGTGTGCTATTCCAAAATGACTGTGTAACTGAAAAGAAATGGTCTTATTTTACTTATTAATCTAACAGTTTTCATATCTTTTTTGTCTTGAAGTAGAAATCTTTTCCCTAGGTACCCCAAATCAGAAAATTTGAAGTAAAAAGCTAGAAATAAAGTAGTTTGCTTCAGTATTTTCCTATCTAGTTCATTATGTCTTTATTAACTTCCACTGGAAAAACTGATAAACTTTTTTTTTTTAAGTTCAGAGGTAGGATTCTTAAGGTTTTTACATTTATGCATTGACTAAATGAGATTCTTTGGTTTTATAGGAATTCTTTTCAAAAAAGTCAGATTGTTCCTTATTCATGTTTGGTTCCCATAATAAGAAGAGGCCAAATAATCTAGTAATAGGTAAGTATAATTTACTTTTTAGTGTTTATAGAGCCAGCTCTGTGACTCAGATCAACTAATGGTATTAAAGAATCAGGAGTAAACTGAATCCTTCAATTCAGTAGCTTTAATCTAGTTTGGTGTGGGTTTTTTGGTTTTTATTTTGAGCCTTGTGACATTGAATAAAATTATTTTTTATCTATCAGTCTCCAAGTAAAGAATGGACCATATAAGTACTACCCTACCAATACAGGGAACTAACACAAGTAAGAAAGAATATGAAAGAATTCCTCAGTTACTCATGTTTCTTAGAACACCATTGCCTTTTGTCTCTGTTGGAAGCAAGTTCTGATTTAAAGAAGTGTGGCCTCTTGGGGCTCTCAGCATTCCTCCTTCCTCAGTTGTAGATGCAGCGTGGTTGCCTTGTGCTTGCATTGAGTGTCACTGAGCTCCCCCATAATCATGGATCCACTGGAATTGGAAAAAAAAATTACCCTACCTCAAGTTGTAGATATTTTTTCTAATACGAAATATAGCCAGGTATAATGGCTCGCACCTGTAGTCCCAGCGCCTTGGTAGGCCATGGTGGGAGGATCGCTGGAAGCCAAGAGTTTGAAACCAGCCTGGGCAAGATAGTGAGACCCTGTCTCTACAAAAAAATTTTTAAAAAATTAGCCAGATGGCATGTGCCTATAGTTCCAGCTGCTCAGGAGGTTGAGGCGAGAGGGTCACTTGAGTTCAGGAGTTTGCGGATATAGTGAGCTGTGATTGCACCACTGCACTCCAGCCTGGGTGACAGAGCAAGACTCTTGTCTCCAAAAAATAAAAAGTATATATAAATATATATGTGTGTGTGTGTGTATTTATTCAGTATTAGAGTTAGAAAAAAAGTAGCATGCCTACCCACATAAATTAACCCTTCTCTAATGAATACCTGTTGACTAAATAGATTTGAAAAAGAACCCTTGCCTGGGTTGTTGAAATTTGGTTTGGCATGCTCACTGGCTTAGGCAAGCCCTTTACCGTCTGTGGGCCTTCATTTATTCTTCTATTAAAGGAGTTGAGCTAAATGATCTCTAAGATCCTTTCCATGACTGGTATCCTAAGAATCTCTTTAAGGTAGAGTTAGAAATTTACGAAAGAGGGGACATTTGGGGGTGTATAGGGAGGAAGGAAAGATACAGATATTAGGACATTTTGGATGTACAGATAAGTGGGTACACGTAAGGTGGGGGTTTGGGAAAAATATGTGCTTAAAAATGCATTTTCCTTCTAGGTCGTATGTATGACTATCATGTGCTGGATATGATTGAATTAGGTATTGAAAAGTTTGTCTCTCTAAAGGACATTAAGGTAAGAGACTGATAATAAAACTGAAAAGCATTTTATAATGCTGCTCTTGGCCAATAGTGACATCTTGTGGTGAAGAGTACTTGTACAATTTTGTAGATAAAGAACTTTTATTTTGACATGCTCTCAGATAAAAATACAATTTTATTTTACCTTTATTTTAAAAAGAGGAATATATTTATAGTGTATAAGAGCGTGCAGATCTTGTGGCAGTTAAGACTTTAGACTGTAGTTACTAATTCTTAACTAGGTCCATAGTTTAAATGTTATCCTCTCTTTCTGAATTAGCACACCTATTTTATGTAACCTCAGAACTATCAGTAGAATTTTCTTTCTTGTTTTTTTTCCTATTGAAACCTTTTATTCTGTTTTTGTTGATGCTTAAGAAAAACAGCTTTGACCATAACTCACCGTGGCCTGGACTTAAAACACCAACTTGTAGTTGGCCAATTAGGAAAGAGGCCAACTTGCATTCTTCTTAGGTATTCAGTTGATAAATGGCACTTAACTGGGGATTTTTTTGTATAATCTTTAATGAGAACCCATAAGTTGCATTGATTATGCCCCAAGAGATGAGGAACCAAAGGTATTAATAATTCACATGGGCACCTGTGAAAAGATTTGTCAGTTTCCTGCCCCATTCTAGCCAGATGTTTTTGAAAACGTTGGGGAAAGACTAAAATTCCCCACCAGTCTGAGGCTGTGAGTTTTTACAACATTAATTGGAAAAAAACAAGAATCCCAGCATGGCACCCAAAAGACCTCCACAGATAAAATCATTGACCAAATGAGAACTGGGAGTTGTTGCAGTAGGCAGATGCTCCTTAATGGGACCTTGAAGGCCAAACAAAAAAAAAAGACATTGCTGAGTCCATTGTGGAAAAGAATGGGCACCAAGCCTCGATAATACTCTCCAATTCCATGGCATTTCAGTGCCTTGAAAGCCTGATGAGTGTTTATAAATTTGTCATGATGCTTGTGGTCTTGAAGCAATGTCTGCCCTCTTTCCAATGGAGTGAAATTGCTTCTGTTATCCCTGCCAATACTGCTGCCACGCTGTGGGTTGCAAACTCTGGAGCACTGACATGCTTGCGGGGAAGGCAGGATAAACCCTCAGTCACTGTGCAGCTTCAAAACTGGACCACAAAACCATTCTTGTTTGTCCGGTCTCATTCTTATCAAGAGCCATTTAAACTGAACACCAAATTTTCACTCATGGATTATGTATATAACTATAAGTTTCACTAATTGATAAGAATATCATTTATTAGACAGTCTTTCACTTTTTCCCCATTATTTGGTAATTTATTTTTAATTTGTTTTGGAGTTGTGTGTTTTGGTACACTTCCCCTTCATATTTATTTCCACTTCTATTTCCCCCTTTTTTCTTTTTTTATTTAAAAATATTAAGCAGGTATAAATGTTTTTGTTACATGGATCACTTTTGTAATGCTTGAGTCACGGCTATAAGTGTGCCCATCACCTCAATAGTGTTCATTGTACTTTCCTCATTTTTAAGACATTTTCACTATTTCTTTTCTCACTTGCCTTTAACTCTTTAGCAAGCTCAGTACCCATAGTTAGCAGGTGATTAGACTCTACCAGGAATTGAGCGAGTATCCTAGGAACCTGTTTTCTCAGATGGCTGAACAGCAAGGGATGATTATTTTGCATGAAATAAGCCTTGATGAACAAGATGATTAAATTTTGTGGCAAGTAGGTTTTATTTTAGATAAGATAAATACACTGGAACTGTCTGGGATATTTTATTTTAAAAGTTCTTAGAATATCGTATAATTTATAAAAATTATTTCCTTTGTTAAAAAAATAAAGGTTAGTTCAAGGACTTGGTGTAATTAAGTATTTTTAGTATACTATATCATTATATTTATAGTATTTTGAATTTTTAGTACCTTTCAGACTATTCAAATATAGCTCATCTGTTGTAGTTTGGGTTTTTATGATGGAGGTGTGACTGGTGTTTTTAGAAAATGGAGTAGTGTAGAAAGTATCAGTGCTCTATGTGGTAAGTATTGTTTCACATAACTTTATATTTTTATGATGTTTGTACTGGATCATTACTATAAACGTATTTTTTATTACTGTGTATTGTGGTCAGGATGGTTTGAAAGCCAAAGTTACAGTTGATGTTGCTGTACCTTTTGTTACCTTCTGTACACCTAAATAGCCCCCCTATACCTAGGGTCAGGTAGGCACAGCTAGAGCATGGAATAATTTTTGGGTCAGGAAGGTACATTTAACTCGTGATCAGGCAGACAGATCTTGGGCACGTTTCTATCTCCTAAGTATAGATAGTTAAAAGGTTCAAGGTTTGGAAGCAGAGAATGTCCACAAGAGTGGTCATTTTGAACAGGGAAGCAACAGGTGACCTGGTCCTGGCAACAGGATGTTTGGCTTTTGTCCTTTTGTTTTTTGCTGGATTTGGATAATCCCTGATTATCTGTCATAGCAGAAGTTCTAGAATCAATGGGAAGCTCAGACCAACAATTATTCACCTTCCTCCATAAATTAATCTCTCAGTTAAATAATTTTTTCTGTTTGATTTTTTTTCTTCTTTACTATGGTGACTGCTAAATCCTCTCACTAGTCACCTCACATTCTGACTGGGATGGAAAATCCAAAACTGGGCAAACACTTTTTATAGTAAGAGTTTGAACCCCACTGAGTGATTATTGACCCATACTTTTTTTGTTTTGTTTTGTTTTCCTTTTTTCCTGCCTACAAGGATCAGTTTATGGCCCATGCTTTCTGTAGCTTGTATAACATTATATTGCTTCCTATGAGAATGTCTAGTTGGTAGTTTAGCCTTCATTTAAAAATGCTTTTATGTGATACAGTAGAAAAGGCACAGTGGTATAAATAATTCAAATAAATTACAATTAAATGTATTTTGACTCTGGGATGCTGGCCATTAGAGGACTATTTTTGTTTGGTTGGGTTTTGTTTTGTTTTTTTTCCAGTATAAGTTTTTTTTTTTTTTTT